ATTTGTGTTTTGGTTGTTTGTTTTTTTTTCATGGTATTAAAAGTTCTCTGGCAGCTCAGGTTTCCCTCCCTTTGGAGTGAGCCACCTTGGGCTCACTGCACAGTCAGGCTGGGTCCCAAGCTTGGGAATGTGCTGACCTACAGGAATGTGGGGTCCCTTGAGAACTGGGGGTGATGTAGTTGCCTGTCTGAGCTCCTTCCCTTTAGTTTCCTTTGCCGCCATATAATTGCTCTTTGCTCAAGGATTTAAGAAAAAAAATTTTTTTAAAGATTTATGTGCAAAAATCTTATTCACTTGGTTGGAACCTGAGTGGAATGTATGATAAGATGTGAAGCACCACATAGAGTTCTTACAAAAAAATTCTTTGATGCTGGCCAGGTGCTGTGGCTCACACTTGTAATCCTAGCACTCTGGGAGACTGAGGTGGGTGGATAGCTTAAGCTCACAAGTTTGAGACCAGCCTGAGCAAATACAACACTCCCATCTCTACTAAAAAAATAGAAAAACTGAGGTAAGAGGATCACTCAAGCCCAAGAGTTGGAGGTTGTTGTGAGCTATGATGCAACAGCACTCTACACAGGGCCACAGCTTGAGACCCTGTCTCAAAAAAAAAAAAAAATTGTTCAATGTTAAGTTGAAATAATAAGAACATAAATATCCAAGGATCTATTACCCAGAGAAATCAATAGACCTTGGAGGGTTCTGGTGTACCTCTCTGATCTCACCTGTTTGTGGCATCCAGATGTGACCAAAGTTGTGATTCCTTTTGTTATTCTTTATAACATTATCATCTCTTAATTTATTCTTTTGTTTTGTTTTGTTTTGTTTTTTGAGACAGAATCTCACTTTGTTGCCCTCAGTAGAGTGATGTCTACAGCTCACAGCAACCTCCAACTCTTGGGCCTAAGTGATTCTCTTGCCTCAGCCTCCCAAGTAGCTGGGACTATAGGTGACTGCTACAAAGCCAGGCTATTTTTATTTTTATTTTTTTTGGTTGCAGTTGTCATTGTTGTTTTAGCAGGCCCCAGCTGGGCTCGAACCTGCCAGCCCCAGCATGGCTGGCACCTTACTCACTGAGCTATAGGCACTGAGCCACTCTTAATTTATTCTTTATGGCTTTATCATCTTTTAATCAAGATGTAGATTTTTACCTCTTTTGAGTTTTCAGTAACTTAATATTACCATTTATATGCCATCAGTATTGTGCCGATACTGTTTATTTCTGGTTTTCTTGAATCAATTTGTGCAAAGATGCAGCTGTCTGAATTGTTGGGTCACCCAGCTTTACTGCAAAGCACTGCTTGTGGGACTTATGTTGTTTCAGATTTATGTTTTCATCTTGTTTATCCCCAAGTGTGTAAGTGCAATAAGAATTTCTTACTCATTGGGAAAAATTGCTGGGTTGTAGATGATAGATAAATTCCCATTTACTAAGAAATGCTTATAAAGTGTATGTATCAATTAACCATCTCCTTTCATGTGTATGTATATATATATATAATATATATATATGTTCATTCTTCTGATTTGTCAACACTTGCAATTATCTGACTCATTTCTTTTTCATCACCAGTGTTAAGCAAAATTTCTTTGTGAATATTTATTGTTGGTTACCATTGCTCAAGCATTATTCCTGTGTGATTATTCATCTTTTGTAAAATAATTTCTCACATTTAATTCATTTGTAGGTTTATTGCTTTAAAAAAAAACATACTCTGAACACTATTTCTTTTTCATTCCTAGAGTCAACAAGTATTTTCTTTCAGATGGTAGATTATGTTTTCATTCCACTCTACTGATTTTTGTTTGTTTGTTTTTGAGACAGAGTCTCATTATGTCACCCTCAGTAGAGTGCCATGGCATCACAGTTGACAGCAACCTCAAACTCTTGGGCTTAAGCCATTCTCTTGTTGTCATTATTGTTTGGCAGGCTCAGACCAGGTTCGAACCTGCTAGCCTTAGTGTATGTGGCTAGCATCCTAAGCATTGGGCTACAAATGGCAAGCTTCCACTCTACTTTTTGATGGACTCTTCTTATTTTAATAAAATTGAATTTATCATTCTTTTCACATGGGCCTTCTTTATTTTCCTACGTAAGAAAACATTCTCTACTGTGAAATGATAAAATTTACCTATAACTTCTGAAAATGGTCTGATTTTGTCTTACACAGGTGATTTGTGTTTTTCTTTTCTTTGAGACAGCCTCAACCTGTCACCCTGGGTAGAGTGACGTAGTGTCACAGCTTATAGCAACCTCCAGCTCCTGGGCTTAAGTTGCCTCAGCCTCCCAAGTAGCTGGGACTACAGGCGCCCACCACAGTGCCTGGCTATTTTTTGGTTGTAGTTGTCATTGTTATTTGGCAGGCCTGGGCTGGGTTCAAACCTGCCAGCTCTGGTGTATGTGGCTGGCGCCTTGGCCACTTGAGCTACAGGCACGGAGCCGATTTGTGTTATTCTGATTTGGCCTTGTAGGAGAGTTGCTATAACTGGTAGCTTTACCCTGCCAGTGCTCTAGGGGATTTGGTTGTGGATATTCACAGTTTGCCTTTTTAGGAGATTTCTGGGGTTTTTTAAGATTTTTTTTTTTTTTTTGAGACAGAGCCTCAAGCTGTCCCCCTGGGCAGAGTGCCGTGGCATTACAGCTCACAGCAACCTCCAACTCCCGGGCTCAAGCGAGTCTCCTGCCTCCGCCTCCCAAGTAGCTGGGACCACAGGCGCCCGCCACAACGCCCGGCTATTTTTTGGTTGCAGCCATCATTGTTGTTTGGCGGGTCCGGGCTGGGGATTTGAACCCGCCACCTTAGGTGTACGTGGCTGGCACCTTAGCCGGTTGAGCTATAGGCGCCGAGCCGATTTCTGGGTTTTTTAATTTAATTGTTTTTAGAAATGGAATCTTACCATATTTCTGACTTTGGGCTTGAACTCCCAGCCACTTGAGATCCTCTCACTTCAGACTCCCAAGTAGCTAGGACTATAGGTATACCTCACTTCAAGTAGATTTTCCTAATTTCAGTGAAAAACAAAGCAAACCTAATTATGAATTCCAGGGAATTTACTACAATACTAGATTAGATGCATTTCAGAGAGTTATGTCAAGGGGATATTCAGTCTCCTTTCTAAGGACATATGGCATCTTTTCATTTATTTCACTATGTCTTGAGTTATACTTTTTGCATTGTAATCAGTTTATATCAGGTTTTTGAGGACTTTAGGAGAATAAGTTTAATATAAATTAATTTGTTTTGTTTTGTTTTTACACACAGGGTCTCTGTCACTGAGGCTAGAGTGCAATGGCCTGATCATCTTAGGACACTGTAACCTCAAACTGCTAGGCTCAAGCAATCCTCCCACCTAAGCTTCTCCAGTAGCCAGGACTCCAGGGGTGCCTTTATGTCTACTGTCTTTTTTCCAGTATTCCTAGAGACAGAATAGCACTGTTTTATTCTGGTCTCCAACTCCTGGTCCCTAAGGATCTGCTGCCTTAGCCTCCCAAAGTGCTAGCAGGCATGAGCCTTTGTCCAGACTAGCTAAAAAACACTGACAACTGCAACAAAAAATAGCTGAGTGTTGTAGGGGCACCTGTAGTCCCAGCTACTGGTAGGCGGAGGCAGAGAATCACTTAAGCCCAAGAGTTTGAGGTTGCTGTGAGCTGTGATGCCACAGCACTCTAGGGAGGGCGACATAGTGAAACTCTGTCTCAAAATAAAAAAAGAAAAGAAGTTCTTTGTATATTTGGGTAGCAGCCTTTTATCAGATACTTGTTTTGCAATTTTTTTTTTTTTTTTAGACAGATTCTCAAGCTGTTGTCCCAGGTAGAGTGCTGTGGCATCACAGTTCACAGCAACCTCAAACTCTTGGGCTTAAGTGATTCTCTTGCCACAGTGTCCCACTAGCTGGGACTATAGGCACCCACCATAATGCCTGGCTATTTTTTGTTGCAGTTGTCATTGTTTTTTAGCTGGCCTGGGCTGGAGTCGAACCTACCAGCCTTGGTTTAGGTGGCCAGTGCCCTACCCACTGAGCTATGGGCACTGCCTGTTTTGCAAATATTTTGTCCCAATCTGTAGCCTGTCTTTCATGGTATTAACAGTGCCTTTGCAAAACAGGAAGTTTTCATTTGAATGAAGTCTAATTTCTCAATTTTCTCATTCACACACTTGCTTTTGGAGTTGGATGTGAAACCTTCTCGCCAAATCCAAGATCGTCTTTTGGGGGGGTTTTGTTGTTGTTTTTGTTGAGACAGAGTTTTTTTGTTGTTGTTGAAACAGTCTCACTCGGCTCTGGGTAGAGGGCTGTTTCCCATAAAAATTTCTCCCCATGGATTTCCATTTTACCAAGTTATAACTATCTCATTAGTTGGGATTGTGAGGCCCAGTCCAAAAACCATCATTTGCAATGTCTCATTTTCAGAGATGCAATGTCTCAGGATTACTAATGCTAACTTTTTTCTCCACACTAAAGAATAGGACTTTGTTCGGCAGCACCTGTGGCTCAAAAGGGTAGGGCGCAGGCCCCATATGCCAGAGGTGGAGAGTTCAAAGCCAGCCCGGCCAAAAAATAAATAAATAAATAAAATTAAATTAAAAAAAAAAGAATAGTACTTTGTTATGACAGTTGGTACAGATCCACTTTAGAAGGAGATGTTAGTGACCTAATGGGGTGACCTAGACAACACATCTTTCTCCTGGGATTCACCAATGAGACACATTTTTCTATTGTGCTGTTGCTTTACTGAGTGTTCCATTCTCGCATCAGAAATGCTGTATAGGAGGAAATGAATATGGACATAAGAGTAAGACTGATGACCATGGCATGGAATAAATGTTGGGAGTCCACAGCATCATGTGAACGTCTACAAAATAGAGTATAGGTCCCCAAGGTTGTGAGTCTCACTCATTCTTTCTGCACATATGGGATGTTTCAGGATTCATTGACCTTTGAGGATGTGACTGTGAATTTCACTTTCACTCTGGAGGAGTGGACTTTGCTGGATCCTTCCCAGAAGAGTCTCTACAGAAATGTGATGCAGGAAATCTTTAGAAACCTAGACACTATAGGTAAGGGTGACAGTATTTTTTTCACTCAGTGAATTAGAGTGGTTTTTACTCATAAGTGCTGTTCAGTGATTTGAAATATGGATCATACTTTGGTGAATAAATCAGGCATGCGTGCAGTATACCATGACTATAGAATCTAATATTTAATAATTATAATAACATAGGACTATATTATATTTCTGGATCTGTATTTTAGGAGAAAAATGGGAAGACCGGCTCG